CAATCAGCATTACAGTGATTATTATTCAGTGATGATTATTACAGTGAATATTACTCCACTGTTAAAGTGAGAAAAATAAATTTGGAGTTTTTGGTCATTATTGAATATTTTAATTCTATGTTAAGCAACAAATCTTTCAAATCATTCATGTATTTTTCTAAAATTAGCAGTGAAACACACTTTTTTTGTGCTAAATCACAATGCTCAGAATGCACCCAGAGCCCACCATTTACCTTGTAGATTTCAAAATTTTCACGGGGAGGGCATGCCCCAGAAGCCCGCTAGGGTGGCTTCGCTCCGGGGCTCGCCCTAATGCACCAAAGCCGCGGCAGCTATTTTATTGCTTCGACGCCTTTGGATGCGAGCGATGCATTTTAGGCCAAAAACAATTTGCACAAAAACGCCAAATTAAGGGCAAAAAAACAAACAACAGATTTCGGTCTTCATAGCGTTTACACACCCATGTCGTGAGTTTGGTTAGGGTTAGGGTTAGGGTTTTTAAACCTGGGGTTGTCAAATAGGATTTGGCCCAGATTTCCCCCCAAAAAATACTAGCGCAGCAGAAAAGTGAACAATAACAGCAATCCTAGCGCTCGACTATACACTGCAGCAGAAAAGTCAAGACGAATCCTAGAACAGCAATCCTATAGCGCTCAACTATAGTCAGGCTCAAAATCAGGCAATCGCATGAAATGCCGAAACGCAAGCAATAGCACAAAACGTATGAAATAGCAGAAAAGCAGTAACCCCTAAAAAATCCCGGGCATCGCCGGGTAGCCCAGCTAGTTATATATAAATAGTTGCAGCGTGAAAACATCTACAATACGATTAGAATACAATATTACAAAACACCTACCCACACGCCCAAGCAAATGCATGCAACCACGCATGCATGCACACATCTTTTGCAATTGATTGTATTATTAATGCTCAAGGGGTCGTTGTTGTATCAGGTACTACAGATATGTATACCCCCCCCCCCTATTTAACACTAACCCTAACCATAAACATACCCTCATATAAAAATATAAACATAATACTAAACAACATAAAACTTACTCGGGTACATATCTGTAGTATCTGATACGACAACGACCCCATCTGCATTATTAACCTAGTTGTATAACCTAGTTAATTCAAATACACGATTGGAGTTAGCTATATAGTATATAGTATACATTTCAGTTAGATTTTCTCAGTTCTGAGTTGAGAAGTTTTCCCCAGACTGCACTAAAAGGATGCACGTATTTGGTGCTGTCACCACGGTTATCCACCAGTGGTTGACCTTCATTCGCCCAGTGGAAGATACTTCCTTCCAAGTTGTACACATCAATCATTTCTCCAAATTCTGCATCTGAAAGAAAGCAAATGCCAATTTTGTCAAAAGATGTGTATACAGACGTGCACATTGTGACGTTACAATGTATTTATCATTTATCTATTAATCATTTGCTAAATTTTGCTCCCTACCTGTCGTCTTCAATTCGTTAATTTGTTGTGCCATTACCGAAGAGCGGTAACCAATAGAACAATAGCACACAATTGTGATATGCTCTTTTTTCTCTGCAAACATAATAAAGAACCAGTCAAATTTAACAGAAGCATCAGTAATAGCTACACGTTCAGCAAGAGCATAGCAGTTGTTCAAAACTGTGCAAGAATATAGTGTTGACAACAAATTCTGTATGCTGTCAGTAGTGTCTGGTGGCATTTCCCTATAGCGTCTACCAAGCTTTATAATAGCAGTACCCCGTCTTTCAGCAATGTAACCCGAACTTGGCATCAATGAATTATCATTTTCAATATTAGTTAGCTAGATTTTTAAATAAGAAATGAAACTGATTAGCAATCCTGAGCTATATATATATCTATCTATATATATGCATGGCGCGACAAAACCACTTTCCCGCTTGCCCGGGGCAACCAAAATTCGCCCCCGGGCAAGTAGCTTGAAATTGCACGTGCCCGTATGGGCAAGCAAGTTTTTTTTATTAAATGTCTAGACATAATGATATTTTTCTTCTGTTTCCACCCGTCCCTTGCATTGTTTTGCACAGATATAAGCTGCCTTGCTACGACGAGATTTGAATGAAAAAAACACAATGCGAATGAATCAATCGGTGGATACAGTGATGTACACAACATGCACACAGCAACATGTAAACCCGGCCCCCAGGCTAGGCATGGTCATTACGTGATCAGCTACCTCAAATGTTTGCCCCTCCACTGCAACTGAACGAGGATTTTCTTTGCTGAAGTACACAAAAACAGATACACTGTATACTGTGCTGTCAGTCTATTATATATGCATGTATGCACCGCTATATTCTCTGCGCTTACGATCCAGCCCCAAAATAAACGCGAACATATTTTATTAATGTATTGTGATAGTGTGGTGGGATTTTGATAATAAACTGACACTTGAAAAATTTTAAAATTAAAACAAACTGCGTGCTGTGTCCCAACATGAATATATTTTGTATACAAACTCGTATCAGCTGTTCAACTTTCTACCATGCCGTTAAGTGAAACGCTGGATGTTGACTAGTTGGACCTTCATTTACGTTATTTACCATTTAAATTCATATAAAAAAAAATTCTTCTTTCTTTATGTTTTTCGGGCAAGTGACTTTTGCCTCCGGGCAACCAGTTTCATAACACTGTAGTTTTTCGTAGCACCCTGATATGTATGTATCAGAAGTAGATAATAGAGAAGGAGTGTGACTTAAATAAACAAAAGAAATTCGTCATTTACTAGCCTTAGAATACCTACGATTTACTACGCGTGACTCAACCAACTTCAGCTCAAATCGTACACAGTACATTTACCTAGCAATGTGCGAAATCGTTTCCTCGTATACACCCGCAATCCGGAGATACAGACTAAAATGTACGACACAATTTTTCATTATGTTGCCAGCAAACTGAATGTGTAAACCGCCCAACTCAAAACAAAAGGCAGCTACTACTGACTCGTGCGCCCTCGGCGATGCGGTGTGGCTCGCTGAGCTAATCTTTGACCTATTTACAGCTGCCTTTTGCTTCGAGTTAGGCGGTTTACACATTCAGTTTACTGGCAACATAATGGAAAATCGTGTCGTACGTTTTAGTCTGTATCTCCGGATTGCGGGTGTATAAGAGGAAACGATTTTGCACGATGCTAGGCGAATGTACTGTGTACGATTTGAGCTCAAGTTGGTTGAGTTACGCATAGTAAATCGTAGATATTCTAAGGCTAATAAATGACGAATTTCCCTTGTTTATTGAAGTATCTACTCCTGGTATGTATACGTCTGGCTTCTTCATTGAATATCTGTTGCCATAGCAGATCCTTTGCAGTAGAAGGCTTTACATGTATAGCTCCAGGCAAATGGCTAATTTCAAATTCCTCCCGTTCACGAACATCCTGTGAATAAGAAAATTGTTAATTAAGTTAGAAACGCACAATAATGCCAGCGACGGTACAGTGAATTTAATTACAAAATGATTTTCTGCGACGAGGCAATGAACACTGGTGGTGCTGGTATCAGACTGAACCTGTGGCAGCGCAAAGGAATATACATACATGTGTACGGTTAGAGATAAGCTCTACCAGCTAGCTGTGGGACTGAACTCAACAGTGTATTTAGGTTTACTACCTAGAGAGAACAGTATACAATATACATACAGTACATGATTCTATACCATATCTAGCACTACAGGCTGCAGCCTTCATATCACAGGCACTTGAAACGTCTCAATAAAAAAAAAAGTATATAAACACGAAATGTATTTACTACCAGTCTTAATGTTTCTCTACTCTTTCGCCTATTATTGCCGATAACTTCCTGTAAATGCCGTTCAAATGCTCCTCTGCAACACACAACTACACCGCACGCACGCACGCACGCCGCTGTGCACAAACAACACATAATAATGTCTGTTTGATATCTAATATCTGAGACAGGGGTCTAAAAACAAACTCCACGAAAACTGGGCGCAATCCAACCGACATTTCGGCATCGACGGCTAGAGGCCATCTCCAAACGGCCCATATTAATTTTTGGCGGTGGCGCGCCTTACGGGTAACACGTAGTAGATCCTACAAGAAACCCTAAGAAATGCTGTCACGCAGCGACCACGCGCTCTCTCATTCGCCGCTACGTGATGACGTGGGCTACTGCCGAATATAGCGTCACGTCTATCACAGAGGTTTTAACGAAGACGCGTACGGCGCTCCACGTGGGCTGGCGCGGTCTAGATGCTATCTCCAAAACAATATTTTGGGTCGGATATACCCCCGTCACGCCCTCAGTGCTACTAGATTCACCTATCCAATGCCCGCAACAAAAATTGCAACAATTTTTACAAGGGTGACTGCAGACGATAAACCCGCACCCTCAGATTAGCAAAGCGGAGTTTACGTCTGCATTTGCGGACTAAGGGCCACCTGGGAGTTAAGAAGCGAATTTACACACACTGCTCTGTCGCTGTGAACAAAGGCTATGTCAGTTAACTTATTAATATTGTAATAGAGGCAACGACCTGTAACTGCAGAGAAACCATGATTAGTGATTTTCACAAAGAGGTTGCTGCAACTGACAGTGTTACAGTAAAACTTAAATGTTATTGCCATATTGGTGCTGGTTCAATTGTTTTTTAATTGAATGAAAGGCATAGGCCTAGTTATCAGACAGTAATTAATAATGGTAGACTTGCGATTTCACACAGGAAATCACTAAAAGACTATTAACAAGTTTACATTAAAGTCAGAAGACAGTAGATAGTTTGCTGCTAAAGAGTAAAGGAGGCAGAGAACGCCCACAGTCGCAGTTTTGCATACGTAGACCTAGGACCGTCTAGTTTTTTCAACTGCGTGAATATTCTCGTTTATTTTATTTTGCTATCCATGGTGCACGTCACATTTTTAATTCGTTACATAACTATTAGTGATTCTCCTCCTCACAAATGACACATAATTCTTTACGCTAAGTATTTAATCAGATTATACAGGACGTTACCTCTCATTTGGACCTCTTTTAGATGACATTTGTAAAATCAACAATTTCTCTCCGCCATTTTTGTCACTTTGCCAACAGCGTTTTTGGTGCCATCTATCGTAAATTACTGTACTTATTTCAATCGTCATCATTTTTACCTCTGCTCGAGGAGCTGTAATAATGATGTCTAATTCAGTAATTGTACTATTTCAAAAATGAAGTTAATTTGAAGAGAAAGTAGATTGTGGTGGGGGTAAATATAATTAAGTATAATAAATTTTTTGTTCTGTTCTCAATCTCATTGCCATTAGAAAGAGAGATAAACGCCTATAATTTGCGTGTGACATAATTACTATAATTAGTCTATTCGTATTATGCATAAATTTTATACTATATGAACAATAAAAACCGCAAAGAATACTTTTAAGTGGTTACAAAATAATTGTTTTTATTTGAATATAAAAAATCCTTGGTGTAGACATAGGTTCTCATGAGTATATATTATGTGCATAATCTCTTATATAAAGGGCGAGCCTGTTTTTGTGTCTGTCAGCAGGTGACATTTACAAATCAAACACCTACTACACCTACTGGAAGTGTACTGGCACTGGTTGTTACTGACGTTTTTGTTGAGTTTCAATACAAATTTTGTTCTAGAGGAAGGAACTTGTTAGAAGGAAGGAAGTTAGAGGAAGGAACTTGTGTTGTTAAAGGTTCTTGTTAGGGAAGTTACCGATGTTCAGTTGTATATTCACCTTCGCCCGCTTGCATAAAGGCTGTCGTCGCGATCGGTTACCCGGTGTATATACAGTACACTACCGGGAGTAGGGATAGTAGCTAGTCATTTTTTTATAAATGACCCCCAATGGCATTTTTAAGCTTATTCGATAGCCCCAGTCACAAAAAACAGAGATCCGTTTACAGAATTAAAAAAATCCACTCCTGTGACGAGTTACGGGCTTTTTTGTGACAACATTTTGACCCATTTTTGGGAAGGGGAGCAAAATGGGAGCAAAATGGTACATTTTTGGAGCATTTTTACCAATTTTCGTGACTTAATTAGTTATATCTTATACATTTCTTAACCAATTACCCTGGTATTAATATGAGGTAAGTTCCCACAAAAGGTAAGTGATAGCCGTAATTTGACCTCTCAGTGACCCCACTGTGATGACCTGTGACGTCATCAAATTGACCTCACCAGGTAAAAATTCAGGTAAATCTCATTTTACACCCTATGTTTGCTCTTATTTCAGTTTTAATTGCACTATATCATTAGTTAGCTATATTTACAAGAATGCTACCAATGCATACTTGTGCTGTTATTTTCAGTTTAGTTGTTATTGTTGCCATGGAAACAGATCAGAAAGTGGAAGCTCCCCCCTTTTCAAAAATCCTGGATCCGCCCCTGCCTAAGCCAGCTTACTACATACTAGTGTGCATGGATAGGGCGCGGACACGTCAGCGACGTGTAGCTATAAAGGGAATAATGTAGGTAGGACTGACGCTAAGCGTTTAAGCCGAAGAGGCGAGAGAAAAGGCGAGCTTGCACGAAGGAAGCCATCTTTCTTGCATGCTCTTTCTCTCTCACGCACGCACGCATGCCCATGTGCTGGCTCACTCCCTCTTTCTCGCTAACCATAATTTGATGGATCATACGTGCTGCACATAACTCTCAGTGTAGCTGCCAGGGTCTATGTCCCCCAGGGTACTGCCGGAACGTACCCTGGTAACTATCTAATATGGTTAGGGTTAGGGAGTAGGCGTAGGCAACTCCCTAAACTCATTAGTGGAGTAGGCGAGGTACGGTCCGGCATATTAGATAGTACCACGATACGTTCCGGTATACCGGACCGTACCAAGGGTACGTTCCGGCAGTACCCTGGGGGACATAGACCCTGGCAGCCTCAATGTGACTTTCCGTGTGTTAGTGTTTCGATAGTGTTGCTTCATTCAATCAGCCGCTCATCAACTTACTTGATGTACTTCTATGCATTTACATAATTACGCAAGTAATTAACGCCAGCCACCGTCGTTCTCATGTAAGCGAATTTCTACCAGTTGGTTGGAATGTCCCCTATTACCAGAGCCCTGTAGACACGGAGGCTTTGAGGTTTTTGACCACCGTGCAAGGTCCTGTGTGCTGCAGTGGTTACGTCAAGTGTAGTGTACGTAGTGTGGTATTACCAGAGCCCTGTAGACCTGGAGGCCTTGAGGTTTCCAACCATTATGCAAGGTCCTGTGTGCTGCAGTACGGCTAGGTCGAGTGTAGTGTAGTGTGGTATTACCAGAGCCCTGTAGACCTGGAGGCCTTGAGGTTTTGCAACCACCGTGCAAGGTGCTGCAGTGGCCAGGTCAAGTGTAGTGCAGTGACCCGAGAAGAAGAAGACCGGTTGGTTAGGCATTTCACAGAAAATGTGTAAACCCAAAATAATCCCGAACGAAGAAAATTTGCTAAAAACAATGATCAACAACGAAATTACGTGCACGAACATTTTAATGGTTCATTATGCTTATGTAGTGCCAACTCCATTATAATTCTAATGTAGCATTTACTTGTCGAACTACGGGAGAGGGGGTAAATTACGTAGCCTTTTAATTAGAAGATAGAAGCTAGCATGCAGCCATGGCTGTTTACAATAAACAGTTTGCGCCAAGGGTTCGCCCTAGCACATCTAATAAAATAGACCACCACTGCCTTGGTTACTTTTACACGCAAATATATACACATTGGGATGCTGTAATTTGATTCAGTTTAGTAGGCATTTTTTTCTCTGAAGATTTGATTGGGAGAAAATGCGGCCAAAATGTTTAGCCATTATGAAACGGTATCATAGAAAACATTTAATACTGAATTTCATGAAACATCAAATGAAGAGAATTATTGAGTGTGTACAACTTATGATACCAAATGGACTGAAATCACACCAAATATTTTTACAAGCATTGCATAACAAAACAAAAAAGATCTCTTCGCAACAAGACGTACTGCGAAATACACAACAGCGGAAGAAAACTACCCACACAAAACTATAATAATATATCTAATTTTTCAATGTCATCATCAAATATGGGATGGATACAAAACACAACAGCACAAAAATCATACGACCGGGTTCTTATTTTGACTTAGGCAGGAACTATTTTCCAGAGTATTTCATTCGAGTTTTACACACAATTTTACGCTACATCACAATAAGCCTGCACAGAAAAGAACGCAATTACTGTGGTCTATTATAGCTGGTTATACCATAATATTATACACAGTGGAGTATTGTGCATATGATTCCAAAATAACAGTACGAACAAGTAATCAGATTTTTTAAGCATGTGCATTATCGGACGTGTGCCACTGATATGTTGATTTTATATGTACATCAGAATAAAACTCGGCAAGTATTAGAAACTTAATCTCAGTTGATTGTTTTTTGTTTTTCCCTCCATTGCACGAGTTTGGAACGACAGCGTAACACAACTGTCCCCACCTTATCAGACCTTGTCAACATCAGAGTGAGATAAAATCCTGAACGCATCTACCGTACGAGTATCGATAAATTCATGACGAAACAAGGTGGAATAGTAGCATGGAATTCACAGTGTTGAGAAAATGATACTAGTTTACTATTTACTCTAGTGTACAGACACAAAGCAACACGTCGGTATACGCACCCACTAAAACAGTTAGTTACTTATTACTTAGTAAACCAGATCGATCTTAGCATCATCTAATTTGCATACGTGTCAGCCATTTTTCAATTTTATCAATGCAAGCCAGTTGTTTGGTTAAGGGTGGTCAAGCACATTGATGCACACATACACGCACACACACACACGTTACAAGCATCCAGTATAGATGAACCTCACGTTACCTAGCTCTATTATATGACGAGCGCTCAGCTAGAGCGTAGTTAATCGAGCTTAAGCCCGGCGCACATGCGAGTAATTTTACTCAAGTAAAATGATGCATGCGTCAATATACTCACGTGTGCAGCGGATTTTCGTTGAGCATTTTCAACGGTGGTTTTTCGTTGAGTATTTTGACGCATGCGTCATTTTACTTGAGTAAAATTACTCGCGTGTGCGCCGGGCTTTAGCATTGACGTTAGTTCTTCAACAGACTTCTAATGCATTTTACATAAAGAGAGGCCTCTAACGGCTCATCTCACTGCAGCATGAAATGATTACGCACCATATCTCCACATTACCGCAACCTAACCAGCAACCCATGCAATTACCGCTCGCGTAGCACCCGAGGAAGCAAATTGAGTGTGCGTGCGTCCGCCTACGACAGGGAAACCACCTCTCTCGCGCAGCGTCGACGCGCCACGCAGCGACTTGCCCCGTACAGATGCCAAATTTGATACCACATCAAACTAGTCTGGGCCTGACACGAGCTAAATTTTTGCAGTGTGTACACGCTATCCCATGCTAAATATGCAGCACTGGGCAAGACTAAATTAACCCCGCAAATGGAGGTGGGCCAGGCCCGCTTAGTAGTTAGTCCATACTTAGTTGGCCCATGCTAAACTGTGAGTGGTACGCAATCCAGTGCCAGGCCCGCACTAAATTTCGCAATACGCATGCGCACAGCTTTATTTCGGTCACATAAAAGTACAGTAGCTGTCTGCTGAGTGACAAAACAAACTGAGCATGCGCAGTCAACCCATGCAAAATTAGCACGGTTCAACATTTTGTGTCTGTAGGCTGCGAATATATCGCACGCCTGGCACAGGCCTAGCCCGGACTAGTTCGATGTGGGATCAAATTTTGCAGTCTGTACGGGGTAAATGCGACTGCCGCGGCTACGACAGGGAAACCACCTCGCTCACGCAGCTACTGCCCTGCTGTGGCCTACGACCAGGCAGATACTGACCCTGCCACGGCTACGACCGGGCAGCTACTCGCGTGCGCTCATACGAAGCCGAGCTACTGCGACTGCTGGGCCTTCCACGCTGCGTACGACTCGGCGAGGTGGCGCGTGATCCACTCGGCGGACGCGTGGTCGGGCGCGCTGACCGACTTGCCGGCCATGCCGCTGCCAAACAGCCCGAGCTTCTTCTTCTTCGGCTCCTTCAAGATGACCTTGATCGTGTGGTCGTGGCAGGTGGGCGCCTCCTTCAGTTCCTCCCACGTGTACGTCCAGTCGCTCACCCACTGCCCGAACAGCTCGCCTTCACAGAAAAAAAAACCATGGAAGAAACAAGTCTAGATTTTAGTCTTACATATAATTTTAATATTAAGTTGGTGAATTTTAATCTTACCTTTAATTTTATTTGTAATTTTTATTTTTTTTTAAATTTTAGTCAAACAGACTTTTTCCTGACACAATATATACACAAGGTACGAAAATTTTTACCGTGTTTCGTAACTTGGCAACTAGGCACCGCATACGTACCTTTGTTCACCATGACAACTCGCTTGTCGGTGACGAGCAGGATGTACTTGAGTTCCTTGAGGTCGAGCACCAGGTGCGACACGTATGTGTCCGTCTTTGCAAACTTGCCCTTGCTGACGTCCTGCAGTATCTGGTTGCCCTCGGCCTCACGCAGCTGGTAGGGCCGGATAACGCCGTCTGCGTGGATCATCCGCGGCGGCCGCTGTCGCCTCACCTACACGCACACACCAGGGAGAAAAATAACTTCTTTCACAGGAGCTCTTTTTTTCAAGTCTGTGGGAAAAATAGCTCTCGGCAAACATTTTACGGAGCCTATTTTGAGCGCCTCACGGGAGCGATTTCGGAGGTTTCAAGAGCGAATCGCTCATCGCTCCGTGTATTTTCTACCCTGACACACCACGGGTGTTAACGAAAACCATGGGTTGAGATCATCAGATGCAAATTCACTTTTTTTAATTATAAAATGTTAATTTTAATGTTAAATTCTAAAAAAAAACATTTTCCGAATTTTTCTCAAGACGGAAATCTGTCTACAGACGAACAATTAACAACAATGTACACCTGCAACAACGCGCGAGACATGGAGAAACGACGTGAAGCGATAAAAACTAGGGGAAAAAACACGTTGCGGACGGACAACGGACATGTTGGCGATTCCCACCAGCAGCGAAGCTTTCGAAGAAGCTGAATGTTAGAGGTTCCTTCCCCCTGCTGCACGCCGTCACTGTAAGGCTCTTTACACCAAGAGAGGGAGAGCAGAGACACCGGAGAAGAGCTTCACCTCCTTCCGACATGTCCGCATCGCCGTATTGCGATGCTCTCCAGCGAACGTTGGCTCCGCAAAGTCGACGACGCCGCTCGTTGGCCGCGCAACGCCGCCGATCAGGACCCTTCCGGCGGCCCTTGAGAAATGCCGGCGGCCGCCTCCTGCTTGCGCGCCCTTCTACCGCTTCAGCACGACGCCTGCTCACTGCCGTCCCACACGCCCATACGAGCCCCTTGCTCGCCGCTGCGCAGCCCGGACTCTCAGTTCGCCGGGCCGCTTGTTCAGCTGTCGCGCGCTTGCGCTGGTAGTCGTCGTCGAGCGTGCCGCGCGGCGAGGCCGCTTGCCCGAGCGCGCCCGGATGCGCCCGACCGCGCCGCCGCGCCGCCGACGACGCCGCCGTAAGAATAGAGCGCATGCGCAGCTCCGAGCGCTCGAGTCCCTCGGTCGAACTCCCGGGCCCTGCACGACGCCCTGTCATCGGCCTCGTAGAACGAGGTCCGGTTGTACGCCGTCCTGAGCCCAGAGCTGATGAGGCCGAACGGGTTCAGGCCAGCCGATCGCACCGAGCACGACACCTGCTGCCGCCCGCTGCCCGGACCGTAGCTGCCCATCGTCGCCTCCGCCTGAACCAGCTCACCTGCTGTAGCTAGAACGCGCTCTCGCGCTTCGAAGTACGCCAGCTTGAAGACGACGTCCTGCGATCTCGGTGACCGCTTCACGCCCGACGCTCTTGAGGAGGAGGCCACGACCAGGTTGGCGTGCAGTGGCGGCCGCCGGGCGAGCACGTGGCAAGGCTGGCCGCCGTACGGTTGCCGCCCTGAGAGAACTCTATCGTTGGCACCTTAAAAATATAAATGACATTATATACGTATAGTAAATAAATATGTACATATAAATAAGTGCTATGTTGGTAATTATAATATAATATGTGCGTAGAAATGCTTACCTTATCATGATGCTTTTTTTCTAACATCATGTTTTAGCGATATGGCGTCCTGAGTGGTTGGTTCACGTACTCTCT